CTTCACCGATGGATCACCGTAAAGTCGAATTTTAGAAACTCACCACGGTCGCCTAACTTGCTCAAACCGATGTACCTTTTCTTGGCCGCTTACCTCGTCCCGAAGGCTAACTGTAACGTTGTCTAATGAAATCAAGTAAAAAGGTCCCCGAAAACGTTGGCGCGGATAAAATGGTTTCTAAACAGCGATCTGTTAAACTACATGGATACAGACAGCTTGGAACAGAAAATCCACGAAATTGAAGCACGAGCGTGAATCGGTTTGTTGTGGTGAGAGATCCTGATCAGACATTATACGATTGAGGCGATATTAGACTACCAATTTTCGAATAGAATAGTTGTAAGCAAATGCGTAAGTTTGATGAACAACAGAAGGACTCGGTCCCGAAATCATGAGATTCGGTCACGGAGACAGCAAATCAAATTGTAGAACTTAGACACAAAGCGTGACTTACAGCCAGAACGAAGGTGACTATCACCAAATTTAGATGTTAGCCCTGAAGCTATTCTTAATGTGAAAATAAGGTCGGGCATCCAATACGCTTATCTTTTTTGAAAACAACACCAATGAGGATGCAATACAACTAACACAAAACAGCAGACTGATTTAAACTGATCGTTTATTCACCCGCTATAAACATTTTAGCCACTCGACTGAGCTATGAAATTTTCCACATGCGCACTGTCTTGCCCACTCCTCGGATCACGTGTCATGTGACGCACCAGTGCGAACTGCGGTCAATTTGTTCAGGTCATGTGGTTGAAGCGGGTAAAGTGCAATCATCCGATACCATACAAACCATAATTCAAATAGTGCACTTTCATGCGAAGCAGTTTGCTATAGTACACCAATGGGCTGTCCGAGATATGTATGACTGAAAAAGCAATCAGCGGGCTAACGACTGTGGTACAATTTGCAGGTCGTCGAACCATCAACTTGTCGCATGCCATTCGTGGATAAGTATTAGAATGGAAGGACGGTGGCATGTTGACAACGCTTCTGTGCGGCTTACTCTCTCCTTCCGCAGCTTTTTTTTATCACACTTGATTGCACAGAAGTACTGACCAGATTGAAGTAGTGCACACTATCGGTAGACATTATCAAGCATTCGTGCTTCAACATAATACGATTTGCTATTCCCGGACACAAGGTGATCCTTTTTTATAAACGCATCTTATGCTCCAGCATGTGATATGCAGTCTTCAGCCTCGAAACAGCTGCCACCAATAACGAAGTGGGCTAATGGCGGTTACCAGAATGGAATCTACAAACTCAGATACCAAGATCAACCTGCCGCGTCGGATGGTCCCCGTTACTTTGCAAGAGACTGAGTGCTTACTCAATGCAGTTCCATATGCTAAGAGTTTTCCTTGGGGACTCACCTCTTGCGGTTACCTACGATTGTTGTGTAAACGGAACAATTCTGAACTCGTGGATAAAAGATATCTGGACGTAAACCGAGTTAGAAAGAAGGATACTGTATGTTATGAGACGTAGGAAGCCGAAGTGAACAAGGATGAATGGCGATTAAACACCACAGATGACTCAGGTGAAATAACCCAAAACATCTGACACAACAACAACTACAACATGTGTGTGCACAACGAAGCAAGCCACACCAGTGAGATTGGAAAGTTCATCTGACACGACAACCAGAGCGAGTGAGTGCGTGAACAGAGGAAATCAGACGGGAATGGGGAAAACGCACCATCTCAACGAATTCCCTCAACCATTGTTGCTACGTGGGGAAAGGGATAGGGGTGAGATTGCATAAAAGGAAGATATATGCATAAAACGAGGGTACAGGATTGATGCATCCAACAGACAGATATCTGCTGAACACCAATGACAAAAGTGACATACAGGACTCTACTTGATCATATACGAGTGGAAATCCAAAGATCCAAAGACAGAGAAACCAGCACGCAATCAACACCAAAAAGGAGCATTAGACAACAATGCCTCGATCCAGTGAAAAGTAACTGTGGACATTCCAAAGTCACGAGAGTGAGAAAACGAGTTTTTACTAACATTGATAACAGAGGGGCCGCAGATAAAGATTGAAATCAAACGGAAATAATTTCCAATAAGGCAATTGTCTTGATGGCAGGTGTATAATAATAATTGGAAACGTATCAAAACAGTACAATGAAATCACAGAATATGATAGCAATACTCAAAAAGTTATGGCAGTGAGCTCGCATATATCTGGATCTCAGCAAGCATCTGCTGTGCCCTGGGCGGACAGACCGTATTCACGAACCAAGATATGATCTTAGAGAATGTTTATTTTAAGGTAACTGCTAAGTACAACTCACTATCACCCCAAAGATAGTGAGATATCTCTAATAAGAAGAAGTGAGTACAATCCACGGGCAGGTAGCACACTTAAAGTGACTGGAAAACACGAATTTCCAACTTTCTTTGAGGAGGCTTACGAACTGATTCCAGCAAACCGTTGTCGCAAGTAAAACGTTTTGGGAGCCATGGGCATGTGAACCGCATTTTGATGACTTAAGATTCGACTTGGACACCGATGAACAACGACCTCCACAAAAGTGCCCCGGTCCAGCAGGTTGCACTTGAGATAACCGAAGGCTTCAAGTGGTAACCCGTAGTCCAACTGCACTTTCGTGTGCAACCCGGCGATTGAAAAAAACTGGTTTGATTTTGTGACTGTAATGACTAGTTACTGCAGACTGGACTCGAACTGATGTCAAAATATAATACTTACCTTCTCCGTTCTGATGAAAACCACGAGAAATGAACGAACCCGTTAGAGATGCAGGAAACGCATAAGAACCCAGTGACGCTGATCTACTTATGGTTTAACTCAAGTTGAATCAATAAATGCCTCATTGTACCTCCTTGGAAAACTCTTCAAATATTGGTAAAATAAATGATGGGATAATTTGCGAAACATTTTGAGTGTGAAACGAAGATGCCAATGACAATGAAAATGGTAAGTTTTTGTGGGAACCTTGGTAAAAAAAAACCATATTAACGAAATGAAGAAAAATTTACTCTGCGCTCCAGTAGAGTCAGTTCGCTGTTTGCCAATTGAGAACCAGGTTGACTGAACATAGAACGGAACAGAACGTTTGTGGTCTGGCGCGACCGGGATGGGCGAAGTGCCTTAATGCGATTGAACAGCTTTGTGAGGGTAGCTTTGAGCTGCTTTAGTGGTTTCTGTATAAAAGTGGGAAATGAAAAAAAGGAGGACTGAACTCTGCGAAACGGATTTTAGTATGGTTTAGATGTGTATCCGTGCTAAATGGGAACTAGTGAATGATTACACGTAAAACAAAATGTCAGGGTCAGATATTACTTTATCGTCCGGAAATCCATAATTGACTCGGTGAAAAAAACACTGAGTTACGTGAACCAATTCCTGAATAATGAAAATAGAGACCAGCCAACCAAATTAAGTGGATTACCTCAGGCTCCGCAGCCAACTGATAAGAGAAAAATGATATATTTGTGTCACAAGCATTAGTCATCATGGACCCAAGTAATTTCCTCCTGCATATTCTTATATTTCACTCATTTCGAGGACGCATTTCGGATTCCATTCAGGCACTTAATCAGTCTCAGAATAGCAGATAAGTTAACAACACACAACAATCAAACCTGGGAAAGCACCATCAATGTCCGCACAACGGGGACAAAACACAACTAACCTTGGGGAGCATTTTCGCGTCCAGTACAGGTTGACCGGAAGAGGTGGGTTCGGGCAGTTTAAAATTTTTTGTATCCAAATCCACATAGGTGACACCACCGCCAGGAGGTAGGCGGAAAAAATCGAAAAGTCGTGAGTCTACTCCAATTAAATACGGCGAGGGCGATTGTATCACGTGGATGCAACCAATGTAAATAAATGGTATGTAGACAACTGTCCAACGGAGCGGAAATATCATCTGTTGGCAGAAAGCACGATAGAAAACGGTCAGAGGAAGAATAACACAAGAGATAAACCGATCATCCCCGAATGTAGATCACACCGCCAGAAATTTACCACGATCTTTCTTCACAGCTCTTCTAACCGGGGTGAAGTAAACAATCTGGATCACCGATGGTTTCACAATAAGGTTTGAAAAGACCTTGAGCGCGTTCAAAGAGTGAATCTTCGCCTTATTACTTCAGCCTGAAGCAAATGATGGTAATTTTCAATGCGATGGAAATGTTTGTGATAACCGACAAAGAGAACTGGACAGCTGTTTCGTTCTGTTGGGGACTCGTCAGCAGTGCATACCCGGTCAGGACTCGAACCATACGACCAAACCAAATCCTCCTTTACTATCATGTAGCATATAAGTTTGCTTATCTGGTGAGGGATTAACGATCCCAAAAGGAGTGAAATCAATACCCCAGACCTTCAACGGTGCATGTGAATGATCGAATGGATAATTATTTGCTTCGCTCGTCTAAGCAGCCCCCACATACTGCTGGAGATGTTTTAAAGTTTACACTACTCTGCTGGTTATTGGATTCGGTTTATTGAACAGGAATTATTATTATTATTATTATTATTATTATTATTATTATTATTATTATTATATTTCACACTTGTCTGAGGACAGACTGTGTGCCAAACAAGTCATGGCACAATAATCTTTATAAAAAAACGTTCCATGCTTTGCATGTGGACTGAGTACTGCCAGCTTGCCTAGGCCAAGGCAGGTGAATTTTCTTGGGGAATCCACAACCAGAGCCTTTGGCTAGCCAAAGCCTCACTCACAAGGCAGCGGGGCGGTATCGAAACCGCAGTTCATTGGGAGCCGGTGTCCAGTTCATCGGATCATAAGTCCTTCGGACGGGGTCAGACGTCCAAGGTGCCCAATACAGCTCAATGCCCAATCGATCCGGTGACCACTGCCACAACCGAAAAGGTGTGGGTGAGGTTCGTACGCTTCCCCTTGGTTGGTTTGGAATCAGGGGTTTTAGCCAACTCCCTTAGGTGAACTACCAGTGGTCCACCAGCCCGGTTATAGCCCCGGATGTCGGCTTTTCGTCCTATCACTATGGTGGGAAAACACCACCGCCGCGAGAAGACAGTGAGTAGGGCTTCCATAGCAGTGACTTTTTGAGACGCTTCGTCGTATGGGAGCACTTCGTGAGGTCCAAGGGAATGGTGACCAGCCGCAACCCTAGAAACCCACCCCCGACCGTACTGAGGTTTTCGGAGGTCCTGATTCGTTGAACAGGAATCAAGACTACAACAGACATTTGTGGGATTTTTAATTCGATAAGACGAAAAGTACGTCAGAAATACGAATCGATGAGAGGAGAGACAAACTGAAGTAACTAACCGAATTAAGGATAGTCGACGGAAGAATCAGAAAAATTGTTTAATACCACGTGCATCTCAGCGATATGTGGGGGCTAATTTGATTACCGCGATAGTTAGACCAAATATGAACATAGGAATCGAGAAACTTTTGACTGATACGTTCAGATAAACATGAAGAGAGACGAGATCATGTTCGCATTATGTTCCGAGTTGTCCGTAATTCGGTTAGTGCATAGAGCCAGCAGGTTGTGTGTAGTTTGTAGAAAAGTTAATTGTTGGACCGATTGAAATAGGAATGAGACGTATGAGGTATGTGATACGGTCAGGGTTGATTATTTCCGAGTTGGGTCACGGGGGAATGAAAAGATCATTCCCAGTCGCAATAGCAGATGTGGATTGAGGTCATGATAGCTGAAATGCCCATCGCATGTGTTGTAAAGCAGTTAAATCCTCGTTCGGAATTATTGACAGTACATATCAACCGCGATCCGGACGTCTAGAACACAGAAACAATCACTATAGTTAGGTCAGTCTGCTTCACGGTAACGTTTGAGATCCAGAATCCTGTAGGTCTGTTTGCCAGCTTTCACAAACCCAGTGGATATGCACTGATGACGCTTCCAAAAGAGGATGTTCAGTAAAGACATGAAAATGCATACGATTTTCCACGAGTCTATCTGCACCGCAAATTAAGAGGTAAAGACATTTGGCAAACTGTGTACTCGAATCACCTTAATATCGATTCACACAATATTTGAACAAATAAAATAAACAAGGTCTAATGTGTAACTTTGATCATATGCGATACATGAAAAAATGAATTATGCGCAGTCACGATGCATATTGGTGGAACAAAAGTAAACTACGAAAGCGGTGCAACTGAATAGTCCGAAGTGCTGATCGAGTGACTAGGACTTTTGTTCTGATTCATCAAACCAAGTCGTTGTCAACCAAGAGCGAAGTTTCATTCAAGATACCGTAAAATTCGTGGTGCACGGAAATGCCTATCATGCAGGGAAATATCATTTTTCCGAACAATCTTTTGACATCGACACTTTCTAGCTGAACAATTGCAATTGACGGGAAAAGTTTAAAATTGTGTGAGATAAATAAACATATGCGAGAACCATTACCGTCATCTATTTCTGTGTTAGAAGAGATGGATTAGAATAATTCTTTCATCACAGGCTTTTAGGCGAAAAACTATAAAAAGTTTGTCATCATCAACAGTGAACAACAGAAAACAGTGAAGTGAACTTCACTGATAGCTGTCAAAGTTTATCCAGTCAATAGAGCAAGTGTCGGGATGCGGAATCGCTGTCAGGATAAAACACGACACCTGACAGTGGCCCGATTCAATCAACCCAGTTGTCGTTCCTAGTGCACATTCGGTAATCAGCCAATTCCGAGTAACGGGATTATGTAGCATTGATCTTTGATCGAGCAGAAAAAACGATCAATTGAAAGAGTGAGACAGGGACTTGAATTAAGTAAGATGATTTTATGGGATTTGGTGATTCGTTCGCCCAGAGTACTAGTGAACAGGAACAAAGTAAAGTCTGTTCCCTATCAGTGTTTCAGTAGCCAACTCCCACTCCCAAACCTTTGTTGTTGTCCCATGATTTGCTTCTCTTTCGCGACTGAGGATGAAACATTGTAGGGAAGAGCGCATAGTGAACGAACAAACGATGAGTTGGCCATGAGAAATTCCACTTACCGCAGTCAAAGCTTCACCAATTTGTGTGAGAATGAAATGCTGAACCGAGGTGAGAAGAATTTTCTGTTCGGTTAGCACTTGAACAAGCAACTGAATTGTCAAATCGACTCCCAAACAGTCCAACAGAAAGAAGAACGGTTCACATCTGAAACAAACAACAATCGGTACATGATTAGTCTACTTTACGATGACGACTGTCACGTTTCACAGAACTCTATACACGAATTAAGACCAAAAGGAGAAAAGTTCATTCGCGGGTACGCAAACGAAGAAAAGACCATATGTGAGTGGAATTGTGGCGCAACGGCAGTGAATAGACATTCACATTGCGAACTAACGAGGGTTACCAAACGGACGAAATGCTTGACCAAGCACAAACATTGGAAATCTGCTGAACACTGGATTATCAGTAGTTTTTAACATAATAATTAAAAAACATCCAACTTGGTGAAGGTGGATGGAACACGGCAAAAATCATTTCCTTATTACCAGGATTTATGATAACATGCAGCTAAAGTGGTTAATATGTTTAGAGCTATCTATCCCGCATGTATTTATTCGACTGCTGAACTTGTCTCGTCCAGCAGTTCATATTCTCGGGTACATTTCGCGCCCACAAACACACATATCGAGTGAACCAGATCAATATTCAATGTGGCATTTCTTCAAGGCAGACAAATTTCGTTATTTACCTAATAAGAAGTTCTAAACACTTACACGACAATATTACCTCTCACCAGGCACAGTTGGTTCTGCTGCTTCCAGAGATTTACCCTAGTTATACGTTCTGACTTGATTTGTGACAAAAAGCGCATAACTACAAAATTGGTTGCACCGAAAGCTATATTATTCTGTTCTGATCAACTGAAAGGAAAAATTGACAACAGTTTATCCACAAAAGTGACATTTTCAAGACGTTAAATCGTTCATGATCTACTTTGTGAAGAACCACGGTTGTAATGCGTCTGCGAAGTGTGAAGTGTCTCAAGTATTCTGAACAATTAAATCCAGTTTCATTCACTACAACCATTAAATCTGAACTTTCGTAATCTGTTTGGGGATCACAAGTCGGATCCAGAAATGGAACCAAAAAAAAGAAATCAACAAATGTCAAGGCGGTGCTACGCAGATTGAGGGTACCCAATCAGAGAATGACATGCGTGAGGAAACTGAGTATTAGAGAAAAAACAATCCTATACGACGAGGACACTAATCACGAAGCCCAACACGGCCTAGATGGCCAAATTCACCTGTCAAGATCTACATACCTTTGAGAAAAGTCATAGTTTGACGACCATAAAAACATGCCAGAATAAGCCCAAGGAGTAAGGATGCAAAAAAGTAAACAATAAGATTAGTGCCGCGCTACATCGCTCGACATGGTTGATGAAGGTGTACTGAAGTCACCAACTGGCATAAAATGAGTGCGATCTAACCACGTGGTCGTATTCTTCAAGTCCTTTGTTTATTTACACCAGTCGAGAACCTTCTTTCATGTACTGATCCAATCACTTATGCTAGCCAAATAACTGACAAGGCAATTAGATGCGAAATGTGAGAAAATGTGCGTGTAGGAGGTTGGGTTGTCGAACTCTGATAACTACTCCCAAATTACGATCCACAGACTGCTAAATCATGGTCAGATTGTCTGTAATTTACGGAAAGCGGAAAATAAACAAAGATCAACCTGAAAGAAGTGGAAGTTAACGGACATGTACAGAGCTTCGGCACCGTTGTCCACGTACGAAAGCCTTTTTGGTCGGGGGTGGGTGTCTAGGGTTGTCATTGACCACTCTTTCTTTGTACTTTACGATATGCTCCTGCGTGACCAAGCGTCTCAAATAGCCTCTGCTGAGGAAGCCCTATTCACTGTCTTCGCGTAGCTGAGATGTCTTACCACCAAACTGAGAGAACGAAAGGCCAACATGCGAGGCTATAATCGGCTCGGTGGATCAATGGCAGTTCACCTAAGGGCGTATAGACCCCAAACCCACCCCTTCCTGATTGTGGCGGTGGTCGCCGGATTGACTGGGATTCGAGGTGTTTTCGGCAAGTTGAACGTTTAACCCCATCCAAATGGCGTATGAACCGATGAACTGGACACTGGCTCCCAGTGGACTGCGATTCTCACACCGCCCCGATGCAGTGCGGGTGAGGTTTTGGCTAGCCAAAGGCTCCGTGTGTGAAGTTCCCAAGAAGGTTCACCTCCCTTGTTCGGGGAAACCTGGCAGTATCGCACCCATGAACAAATTATGCAACTTTTTAGTTTTTATAAATATCACTGCCCAGTGATTTCTTTGGCACAGACTGAACTCAAACGTATGTGAAATGTGTACGTATGATTATCGACCACGTTTATCTGTATTAGTGACCTGTAATGCAATAAAACTGTGAGGTGACAATACGATAGCGCCTGATGACCAATGAAACGCTGTCGACCGAGTGAACCAAAGGTGGGCGCAGCTAGCTAGCAAAGAAAATCATCTGACCCCGGGATGAAAGTATGTCTTCGGTAGTTGGCCATGTCTATTTTTTCACGATTGAAATTTACAAATTGGCTTGGTGAACGCGATTGCTTATGCATTCTTTTAGCATCCTCCGCATCATTTCAATTTGTATTTACATCTACTAGAGGGGGAGGTACAACAGGTCTGGAAACATAAGATTACGTTCTATCGACAAAATCCTTGTTTCATGAAAGCAATATTATTATTTTAAACCAAGATGAAAACAATTGTAATGACCCACAAAGAGCATTGGACAGCTTGTTAGTCCTGCTTGGGACTCGTCAGAAGTGCTTGCTACTCTAAACCAATACTGATACCCTTTGCTGTGGGCTTGAGGATTCACACTCCTTGCAGATTTTGTTACGAAACTTGTAGTGATGAGTCCTAAACCACGAATTTCTTCTCTCGTTCGACGTAAGTTTCTCCTAAAAGAATAAACTAACCGGCAGAATAAGAGGACGCAAATGAAAATGAGTGTTTGAAGGAGCCTTAATGAAAGACATGATAGACAGATTTGCCTTTTCAGAATGAGTAGGATGGAGTAACGAAATCGATTTACAAAATAACTACAAGGACTACTGCTTCAGTACACAAATCGGAGAAATCAATATTCATTGTCCAACACGATACAAAGAATCCACAACAGTCATTTGTACCTAAATCCCCCTCTGCTTAATGAACTTACTCTGGCTGAATCAACAGTCTTGGAAAATGGGAATTTAGAAGACCTTATCGATTCATGAATGAGGACGAACGAGGTTAAATCAAATGACTTCGCGGTAGATGAAAAAACAGTTCACATTACATTGTTTTTCACTGGCGACAACCTAGCGAAAAAAATTAGCTAGCCATTCAGGAATGCAGTGAAAAACTTAGTTCGCAAAAGAAAAGAGCGTCTTTTTGCGATTTCAAAGCAGTTCATCCAATAAGGGCAATGGACAGGATAAGATCAACGGAGATTAATTCTTTTCGCATTTACCACCCACCATACATACCAACGGAATCTTAGAACTCGGTAAACAATAATCTCCAAAGATGCCACTATCGCTGTTTGAGCACTTCAAAGCCATTTCCTCATCTCACATTAAATGCGTGACCTGTATAACACTGATAATGAGGTTCCTATTTCTCTACACTGCTTCTGGAGTAAATGACCGGGGGATGAAGCATGGAATCAAGTGTGTTCGTCACATTGTTGTAAAGCACTCTGTGTTCAAGGAATCTAGGAGTGATCGAAGAGTGCTATGAAAATTCAATCAGAAAGAAGAAGAGCTGCGAAAAACTGTAGACTACCGTCCCCATATTAGCGCAACTTTCAGTTTCAACTTTTATAACCATTAACCATGCACTTTCGTGCGCCGGTTTCGGTTGCTGTCTTTCGGTCGCCCATTACGATAAAATCGCAGGATGGAGATTGGAATGTTTAAAGCAAATTCAAGCGTAAGATAGACAATCCATACAGAGAATAAGGAGTAGATACATGCGCGCCACTGTTTGCGACACCCAGCCGTTTCGCAATTTACGAACCGATATTAATCGTACCTGATCGAACGGGAATGTAAGGTTAGCACGGGACGAGGACATTTACTCGTTTTCCAAACTCAGCAAAGATTGTCCAAACTTTATCGTCACTGGAGATGTCATTTTCAAACCGCAGACCTGGTGAGAGTTTACAAATAACCGGTCGCGGTAAACAGTTTCGTTTAACATCGAGCCTATCCCAATGAGATCAAGCACCAAAGCTGAGGTCGATTTAAATACAAGTTCCACCGCTTAACTGTTCCCCATATAAAGATGACGATATCGTTGAGTGACTTGACATTTCGCGCCCGATTATTGACTTAACTTGATTTTGGGAATCAATATGCCAAGCGACCCACGGAGAAATTTTAATCCGCTTCCTTAATTCCCAGTCTCAGATAAGTGATTCCGCACTTGAATAATATCAGCCAGCTCAACCCTATGGTGCAGATAGTTAATCACGAGCGGATAACTGAGAAATAATTCGCAGTTATCGCGACAGAGGACGAGTTATTATATTAAGGGATAGGATGTGATCGAAAGAGAAGTGTGAACGAAAACTCACTTGGAAACAGCGTCGTTGGCCTCGGGGAAGTTGAGCAAAATCGGTGCGGCACAGAGCTGTAAGCAATAGAATGTCAGAAAAAATAGTAATGCCAATTTCCGTTCACTGCACAATCATCAATTTATCATGCCGTTCAACAGTCATCGCAACAGAGGAATTACAAATCCAATATATTAGCCAGAAGAGTTGGCGGTGGTGACCAAGTGGTAGTCCCAATAGACCATCAACGAGCCTTTGGAATAAAACACAATGTAGCGAACAAGATTTCTTCTCAGAGGTTCGTCTTCTTTGGCTAACACATCACCATTTATATAAATCGGTTAAAATACGGGAGGGCAGAGATATTACTTACAAAAAGTAATATCTCAGCCCTCCCACATTTAATGATCAATCACCGAGAACAAGTATTGTTCGTTACTCTGTATTCTATTCAAGTGTTAATTATCATCAAAATAGTGACCCAGATGATCCGGGTTCGATCCGCTCCACCACGACCCATCATCCCCATTTCCGTATTTTCCCAGGCAGGTTTTGTATGGCCGCGGCCCCCTTCCTAAAAATTGACTGTACATTTGTTCATTCAACCAATAAGAAAGTGCAAGAAGAAGCATCATGATCAAAGGATGTATTGAATTCAACTATTTCGTGGTAATCTCATCAGCTGTGTACACACATTCGAATCACGTTTGGTTAAAGGAGTGACAGGTTTGGGGACAGNGGACAGGCGTAGTTCTAGCCAACCAAGTGTGTGTCGCTGATCCCGAACTGACGAGTGTCATGTCAGGTCATTGGAAAGCATCAGAAGAACTCAGAAAAAAAACAATATTGTTATTTTAAGACCCGACAAAGGATCTGGAGCTGTCATCATGAATAAACAGGATTATATTCGAAAAATGCAAGAAGTGATTTCGGATAGAAGCCGATTTGTTCTTGACCACTCTGGACGTGACCGAACAGCTACTGTGGAACAATCAATCGCGCGCAAATGACGTCAATTGCATATTAGCAGTGCCATACTTGCTCAACTAATCCGCCGGGGCTCTCGGGTACCTCGTATGTATGGACTCCCCAAAGTACACAAGGATGGTACTCCACTACGGCCATTACTATCTATAATTGGAGCACCCCATCAGAAGTTAGCACGATAGCTAACCAAACTCATTCAACCAATCAAAGAAGAGTTCTCAAACTACACTGTGAAAGATTCGTTTGAATTTGTTGAAAAAGTTCGTGATCTTAATGTTTCTCATAGACACATGGTCTCGTATGATGTTTGTTCCTCTTTGTGAAACTGTGGACATTGTCTGTTCATATGCCGACGAACTCAACATTCCCACACATAGTCTCCGAGAGTTACTGCTTCTGTGTACTAAAGATGTACAGTTCTGTTTTAACGGAGATCATTATGGCCAAGTTGAAGGAGTTGCAATGGGTAGTCCACTAGGACCTGTCCTAGCTGATATCTTCATGGGAAACCTGGAGAATACAATGCATAAAGAGCACACACTTCTACGGCCGTTACGTGGATGACACATTTGTAATACTGAATGACAGCGCACAAGCAATGCTTAGAAAATCCAACCGTTCACAGCCGAATATTAAATTCACGATGAAGCACGAATCCGAATCTTCCTTCTATTTCCCGGATGTCAAACTGACGAGAAAAGAGGACGTAGTTCACAAGCCGACATGGACTGGACAGTACCTTAATTTTAGAAGTTTCTGTCCAACACAATACAAAAGATCATTGGTGCATAGTTTATTCTCTAGGGCCAGGATAATCTGCTCCAGTGAAACGTTGGAGTTCGAAATTCGCTGCATATCCACGGCACTGCACGAAAATGGTTACCAAAAAAGTTTATTTCAAACTATGGAGCGCCATTGAATAAACTAAGACAAAGTTACACCACCTCAAAAAAGCTGTTTTTGTCAACATACCGTTTCAAGGTGATCAAAATGATAGGCGAATACGCTGCCTCCCTTATAATACTGCACGACACGAAGCGAATGCTCACTGAATCCAATCTAGACAAACCCGACTCTTCAGTTACCTCCTCCTGTTTACANACATGTTTCAATGTACTTGCGGTAGCAAGTACGTCGGAAGAACTGAGAGACCATTGTCTACCAGGGTAGCAGAGCATGTACCGAAACATGTGGCGTCTAACGGATCCAAGCTTCCGTCCAGTTCAATCGCCCGACATATACTGGATTGCAAAGAATGTGACAAACCTGGGCACGGCTTTCGTGTCTTGATCCGCCAGAAAGGTAGCCGTCTACTACGGTTCGCTGAAGCGGCTGCCATTCGATGTTACAAACCCGACTTATGTAAAGAGACCGAATTTGTGGCTAGCCTCGCGCTTCCCGCTGGTAGGTGTCACTGTCCTCCTCCCTCTCTCCTTCACTTCCTGACCCTATTTCCAATCCGGTTCATATAAGTGACCTGTGGCCTTCGTATTGATTGATTTCTCTTCCCCGTGTGTGTGTGTGTATTCGCCTGTCCCCACAACCTGTTACTCCTTCAACTAAATGTGATCCGAATGTGTGTACACAGCTGATGAGATTACCACGAAATAGTTGAATTCAACCCACATCCTCAGTGATCATGATGCTTCTTCATGCTCTCACGAAAATATTAAAGGGAAGTGGTTGCATGAAATAAAAAAGTAATTTTTTGCTTAATTAGCGAACAGTGCACAACGCGACAGACTATTTTGATTAACGTGGAACAAGACAACTGTAAGTTGGTTGGGTGTGAAATGGGAGACTACTCGTTTTCACATGCACCACTTCGCTCAAATGCGGTGGCACATTTGGGTAAATCAGTTTTGGAACTGAACAGAATTTGATGAGCAACGGGACAGATATAAGGCACTATCGACTGCCAACGATTGACTAGTGGTAAAATACTTGGCATGTGCCCCACACATTTACCACAAAGTTAAAGCACGAATAGGTGGGATCTCACAGAGGGATTATGCTGCTTTCAAAGACGATGCTTTTAATGCGAGAAGGTAATAACGTTTCTTAAGAGGAATTACGACGGGCTGATACAGGTCCTTGTGACTTCTAACTGTCAGTTATCATTATTTTCCGCCTGACAAACGCAAACGTGAGGCGAAAATACCTGTTTTTGCAACGGGCTTTGATGTTTTCAAAAGTGGAAGAAAAAAGAAATCACAGCTCATTATGGGTGTGGTTTGGGGTTGACAGGTATTCTGCACGAGCGAACAGTCACTGATAGAGCAATCACTCAAACGGATTTAAGAGTATGTTGACCCAAATAAGACCGTGAATTGCATGAAAACAATAACCGAGATGACGACATACTTCAAACCATACGTCACTCTTTTTCCAGTATTTCATGAACGATTCGTAGACAACAACAACATGCATGCATGCATGCATGCACGAAGTAACAGAAACCGGAAACAATATGTCCAGTGCAATCATCAGACAACCTTGTTTTCCCGACGACGACCTACTCTTTGACGTTATTTATACATACACGAAAATTTAGCTGACCGACTGAAAACCTAGGTAATCGCAATTCTTGTTCACATGGGACATTTGGTATACGGTACTCGAAACGGTTATCTATACCAACCTAGCATAAAATTACTGCGCGAGGGCAGATAACTTCAGAGACATCTGTGAAGTTAACTTATTCTCATTAGTGGCTCATCGATAGCTCTGCACCAACGGAATGGACGATATGCGATCAACGGAAGGAGTACAGAAAATGTACCAGGATTTGAATGGTGTACTCAGAATTCATCGCCAACATCTTCGCGGTCTGACTTTAAATGAGTTGTTCGGATACATTATCATTCCTTCAAAATAACCCGGTGTTGCAGAACACCGGGACGACAAAAGTAATGTTGAACAAAGTTGAATTGGACCCAGAGTGGACATGACCTAGGAAAATGGTACCATGGCATGGGAACAGAGAAGAACCACGTTTTCTGAGTTAAGAACACATAACGATAACAATCAAATTATTCACTGTGCAGAGAAAAGAATGTTGAACTCAACCGTACACAAGGAATGATTGTGAGGGAAAGCTAAGATTCCGGGAGACAACTAGAACTGGAGTAACCCCCAAAAACTCAGCCAGATTCAGTGCAGATTATCACCTAACCACCCATTGAGACCAAAACGGTACCAGTACGGTTTACGTATGAAGTGCACCCATGCAGGTAAAATAAACAAGACCAACGGGGAAAGAGTCAGACACGAGAATAGAATTTAAAAGAAACCATAATTCGTTCTTCTCATCACACTCCAATAAAGATAAGCAGGCACGATACGAATTTGATCTGTACAATGTCGAAATTACAAACCGGAGCACAAATAAATCGACGAGAGAAATTCTCTATAATGATGAAAGATAAATGCAGATAAGTACAGGAACAACTAAGAATAATTGACACTATTTCCCGAGACCTGTACGCCTGGTTTTTTTTCTGGAGGACAAGATGAGATGACACGCAAGCCATGCAGTGTACCAGGCTGATGAGTCACTTGCGGGTCAGCCTAAAGAGCCGAAAACCCGCATTTAAGCACCCTACAAAAAAGGTATTATTGCCAGTGGGACTGATTAATGGAAAAGCAGCAGTGTTTTGTGACTTATAAACTTTGCCGAAAATGGCAGGGTCTGATTTATCAGAGTCGCAGTTTTCAGCGGATCGTTGTGTTATCATAGAACGTAAGAAAGCAATTCATGGGACTATTCAAGTGAACTTCCAACACTGACCCCGGCGGCAGGGTAGCTTGAAAGATGAAAACACTAGTGACCAGCAGGGGTTAGTTGTCCTAACATCAACTTTTTCACTATGAGTTGTAACCAAACATGTTCTTTTCTAAGTACATGATGTCATGATCAATTTTAACAGAAGAGGGCTGTGGTCAATCATCGACCGGCAGTGAGGTTACGTGGTGGTGACTGAACTGAAATCCACGATTTATGAGCCGATATAACGATTAAGGATAGTGTTCAACTTCCTCCACATATGCGTAATGGAATTAATGGAATTAAGCGATTTAAGTATAGCAATACCGTTCGTCTGAGCTTATTGCAAACTACATCAGAACTTATCATTGGAGCATTTTTACTGACTTGAATTTTTACACTTCTTGCAAGAGTGAATTTACCACTGTGACAGCCAGATCGAACTAGGATTAACCAGAATTAGCGAAAGAAGATTGTTCAGACGTCTTCTTCGAAGATCGTTCGTAAGCCTTACATGCAGAGATCATGAACTCAAAACCCGGATGGTTCGCTGTATATACAGTACTGGTGAGTTTTGGAGAGAAGAACAATTGAGTTTAGTGTTTGCCGAGTGTACAGGTTATTGGATGAACTGAGGATCGCTTCTGAAGTCCGAAGAAGAGTCAATCAATATTAATAACGCCCTATTCAACTACTTTCTAGNGTAGTTAATCAAGTCGGTAATTACTCATCTGATATGATGTAATTTTTCACAAGAGTAATCAGTAATCCTTCGGATGAGTACAGATGTATGTATGCTACCTAGATCACCTTAAGGTCGTGGATAGGTGGGCTGCCGCCAATTCGCGACAAACCGTGAATAAGGTGGGCCTAGACCCAATGAATAGGCGGCCGCGAACGATTGGTGCTTATGGATGTAGTGGGTTTATCTCTTGTCAAGGGCTCTTTACCCAAAATACCACATATACATGTGCACAGCGCTGTGACGTGGAAAAGATAACCCACCAGTGAATGTAGTCATTGGCGAGTTCCATTCCCGAACAAAGGTCCCCAGAAGGGGCAAATGAACCAAACAAGTGATCACCAACTTTTGTAAACCTGTGACACTTGTGGCATCGCCATGGCATTTGACTGCCCCTTAAAGGAGGGGTGTAAATCCCCGCGATTCGTAGTGTTCTACTTTACTCGTGCGGAGCCTAGTCTCCATGTGCTTTCTGGAGGTGCCGGACAAGGCAGTGGTTTGACCACGACCCGATGTAAGGATAAGGATGAGACTGTGGCTGGGTAGAGACCTTTGTTCTTGTTATTCTCAGCAATTTGCTTAACCTCCTTAGCTCCCTTATTTTTACCTGAAGTTCAATATCACCATTATCATCATTATGGCGTTAGAGTCAAGCTTGTGCGCAAGTAGGTGTGACATATATGTGACGTATAATCAATAATCGCATACAGCCAATTTGAGAATAAACACATCGTAATCATTACTTACCTCTACCATCACGTGAGGCATGCTTTGTGTAGGAAAGGGGACTTCATATAAGAAATAAGCCAAATATCTGACGGGGAGAACAGGAAAAAAGTAAGAGCAATAAGCAACAAAGGTGAGATATTAGGCGAGTAGTTCATGGAGAAAATAAATCTGGTGCGCACCACTGACATAGTGTTACTTCATTTGATTGCCGGGACTGGACAGATTATTCCATTTGATACCATGCTTTTAACTCAGTGGAAGCCGCACAACCGTTNGCAGTGAACTGATTTCTGTGAAAAATATCGAAAAAAATTGTGCATCAAGGTCCTGATCACCCAATCGATTTGCGCCGTGTTTGACAGCATTTTTACGTTTGAGAGCGCACCGACCTGGGAGAACGGGCGGATTAGGATAGACAACAGTCCCCAAGCGTTTAACGATCAGCTTTTTATTCATCTATTTGCTGTTCATTTGCAATGCCACGATTTGGCATTCTTAAACTCGTTTTCCAGTGTGCTTCAGATCATTTTATTAAGCTGTTATATATACTCAACACGTAGCCAATTAAACAGAATTGGCAGATGTGAAAAACATTCAGATGCGATGGAAATATTTGTGATAACTGACGAAGAGTATTTGGACAGCTGTTACGTCCCGTTTGGGAGTCATCAGCAGTGCGTACGTTTTGTCCCTATCAGGACTCGAACCGCGAACATTCGGGTCGGGACTTCAAACCCTTACCCGTGAGTTACACGGTTGACGCACTGCTGACGAGTCCGGAATAGGACAAAACAGCTGTCCAGTGCTCTACATCGCTTATCACAAACATTTCCATCGCATCTGAATGCATTACCTCGTGAAGAATTAACGATCTGGCAAGGAGGGAAACCCACACCCAAGACCATCAAGAGTACCTGGTACCTTTGAACAATCGAATGGGCTAATCCAAGCTTGATACTCTCAAATGTGAAAAAGGTCTAAACACAAAGCAACAAATAAGAGTCTCGTAACAGATGCACCAATGAGGATGGTGTCGCTCCATGTCGTGTTGCGTCTCAAACCATACATATTCCCTGCCTTTGGGACCCCAACCTGGTAACCTAAAGCGTCTCACAACTGCCCGTTTTGAGGTTGGCTTCTTCATCGTTCGAGCCCAGGTAATTCACTGTCTAACTCATTGCTGTTATTATCGAACATAACACGATGAGACAGTCATTGAACCGGCTTCCGCAACATGTGCCCCGGCCAGCAACTGTTAACCTTGAACTAGTGCCCCGGCTTTATTGCCGCCTTTTAGGTTTGAGTTTGTTTGGACAGTGTTGAAAGAGTGGGCCGAATAAGGAAAAAGCCACATACTTCCAATATGGTTTACTAACAGATGGGAAACAAAATAAACGTCCGTGATCACTGAGTTACTGAGCACGAAAACTAAACATGATCCGCATGGCCTCGAAGCTAGGGCCATTGATAACCGCATGCGCAAGCAACAGCCACTCAAAACATTTATTGAGCACTACTCCACTACACCTAATACGAATCTCCCAAGCCATGGAGTGTTTTTCACTACACAACACAAGGGTGTGATGAAGAAAATAGTGAACAAAGTAGTTATGGGGACGTAGTGTTTAGCTGGAAAAACCGGCAACCTAAGTTGTGAGACTCGGGGTGGAGAATCATGGAGATAAACGTGGTATTGATTGAGGCAATAGGGAAGACGACTACCATCGAGAGAGAGAGAGTGATTATCGATTGTATCCATTTTTTATTATTAAAATTATGGTATGCTCGTGCTGTTTACCAATTTTACCTGATAAGTCACCTTGGTCTTTAATGGGATTTTCCCCCACGATCAGATTAAACTGAATGATTATAAAGATTAATTAGAACATGCTTACCTCTCAAACGGAATGGGATCATCTTTAGCCGCTGGTTGCCAGCGACTGTAGAGGAATGCGAGGAAATTGGTGAACGCAACCGGGAACGACCAACGGGATAAAAGACACATGGTCTTTGTGACCCCGATCACTCGGTCACCGATTCGCGCTGAAATGAAATGGCCCTGAGTTGCCGCAATGCGAGCCTCTTCCTCCGCATCTACTTCGTCCAAACACATTGACTTGGACCCCATGAGTTCCGGGTCCACACCTAATCGGTAACATTTATCATTATCCAGGTGGTTCAGATCATACGGTTCGTAAAATGTGAAAACCACACCGTAGAGCTGTCCGATTAAACAACAAAAGAAAACGATCATAAATGTTGTTCATTGAATCTGCAAACTAGAAAGGTGAATCACATTCACAGTGGCATGACCTAATACGGTAAATCAATCTTACATCCATACCCACACACACACACTTTGGAACCTTGGTCAGTTTAATTTAGCCAAATGAAGACCGTTTATGTCAAGTGTGATGAAGGACAAAGTTAATCAACACAATTCAGCAAGAGATGAACAACATGAAATTCAGACGAGGCTGGGATGTGCACACAGCATGGGGCTAGTGTAGAACGCAACAGCTAAGTACCTACGTTCAGGTGTCCCTGTATGAAACAATCACCATGAGTGCTGTTGGCAGTTACCTTATTTTGACGAACTGCTTGTGGGTGAAACTAATAACTGATTCCAATGTATGAATACTTCGAGGACTTCCCACCCAACGAATGGCGTACCAAGTCAAAAGCCCGACGTTACTACGTGAATTAAAAAGAATAGTAAAAGCTAGTGTATTATCAACGGATTGAATGCGCCAGCGCTAGCATCGGGTTTACACTATACACCATGATCATACTTCATAGCAAAGTAAACAAAAAATAAAGACTACACCTTTTCCCATCAAGCTTTAGCTAAAAACCCGCAGTCTTTCAGCCTTGACCCGTAATCCTTTAGCCAAAACCGGCAATGCTCAGTAACGACTCGTAGTCCTTTAGCCCCGGGGCACAAACTTTAGTATAACACTGTAGGCGAGTCAGATAAAAAAGTACTGGAATATGCTAATGTCAAGAAATGTTGAAACATTTTATTTTCTACGAATGTTGATGTGGGTTGAACCTAGAGCATTGCGGGTTTGGGCTAAAGGATTGTGGGTCGAGGCCAAAGCATTGCGGGTTTTAGTTAAAGGATTACGGGTCGAAACTACAGGACTGCGAGTTTTGACTAAAGCTTGATGGAAAAAGGTGTAGATACGATTCTTTGAGAACAAGGAATAGGTCTAGTTGCTATAGAAGAAAGGAATCTGAATCAGTATGAGAGACGCAAAAAAACCTGACTAATCATATACACCACAACAAGTAATATGATCTGGCAACAAATAACAAGAATATGATTGCTGCCAGTTAGCTGTTACTACCTTCAGTGTGTCCAATTCATCAGTTACATAGTTTTCAACCCTAGCCCCAACACACCTCTCCGTAAAGATCTGCGTGCCTTGACTGTATGCCATTGGGATTAAATGCAACCTGGGGCGGCAACTAAACACGGGACCGGGTGCAGTAGAAAACTACTGGGTGTCATAAACGTTACCCTATTTCACATGGGACTATTAAATCTCCCTTTTCTTACATTGTAGCTTTTGTACTACGATTGTTAGAAG